TTTGGAAACTGATGAAGTGTTGTCCCATCGTTAATCACATGATCATCATCAGAAAATCTTCCTCCAAGCTTGATAAGTAATCTTCTCATCGAGGCTTGGTGGTCAACTTGATGTTCTTGAGCACTTGAGTGTTGTATGGGTGGCGCCCCCGCCGCCAGCACAGGCAACTCTGGCCAGTAACGGCTTTGGTTGATGTTATCAGCTGGAACCATGGAATCCCCCACACTAGCTGATCTCTTCAGAGCTTGCTTTATGTTGTTGCCTCTACGAGACTGATGCTCTTTGCGTTGCTTGCCGAGAAGCTTCTTCTTAAGCCTCGTGTTCCAATAGTTCTTTATATCGTTATCAGTCCTCCCCGGTAATTGTGCAGCAATAATAGACCACCTATTGACGATCATGCGAGGTGTAATCTCTTAGACATGAAAAACGTTTGCTTAAAATGAATCAAGCAAAACATAGGGTTTGTCACTTTTGTTGACTTTAAAGAATTTTTTTAGGACCAAAAATACCTGCTACCGATACTGATATAGAGGCTGCAAATAATCTATCTTCTTCTTCGGAGAACCCTCCATGCTTAATATTCGGGCGGAGATAGTTTAACCATCTGAGGCGACAGCTTTTCCCACATCTCTTAAGGCCTAAGCTACAAAAAAGCAACCCTTTAGAATCTCATCACATCAGATACCATAAAACAATTATTAGTATTTTCTAGTTGGAAAAAGAAAGAAAAATCAAGCAAGCAGAGCCGATGGATGGGTTGGTTTATCTTAAAATATTACCAATTTTCTGAGGCAAAGCGATCCAATTTCCACCGGTACCATGCTGCTCGATGTATGCCTTGAGCTTGGCGTCTTCTTCAGGTGACCATGGGCCTTTCTTAACGTTAGCTTTGTCACAGCAAGGAGCTCTCCCCATGCTTTTCCTTAGTATTCCTTTTTGAGCTTTTCTCTCTCCTTCCACTGAAGCAAGAATTATAGGAGAGAGAGATAGAAAGAGCCAGGGGATTTATAAAGCTGGAAAAGGATAAACATGCTTCTCAGGAGATCCATATTTATATATTTATATATATTTTTTAGAAGAAATAAAAGTATGGCATAAAGAAAGACTGATATAAAAAATTAAAATGCCAGAGCAGGAAAATAGGGTTTTTTCTACTTGTCTGTCTTGGTCTAGAATGATACCAGTAATCAATGATTAATTTTATACATAAAGACTGCTGGCTTTTTTAACCTATGGTATCTGACTAGAATGTAAGTGTGTATTATTTGTACCTGTTTTTTTTTTTTAGTAAAAGGATATCTCGTTAAAAAATTCATACTCAAGTCCCATTGAAGAACAACTCGAACAGCAAAAAAAAAAAAACAAGGAAAAAGAAGAAAAAAAAATCAAACCATAATATTAATGCTCAAAAGCATCATAATTCAATATTTTAAATACGAAAAGATATGAAAATCACAACAAAAATAATACAATAAAAAAAGTAAAAGATAAAATCAAAAAATAAAAATTTAATAAAATCCAACACCACACTGAAAGAATGAAACAATCACATCAAAACGCAACGCCCAATTAGGGTATCAATACAATAAGAAGATCCCTAGACACCCATTTTCATTTGAAGAGATTTTTTAGAGTTTCTTTTATTGTCACAGCCCAAATTTAGGTTGAACCTTTGATTTTAGGGACTAATTTAAATTTTCTTGAAATTTTCAGTCTAATTCAAAAAACTCTAAAAGAAGACCTACGTTTATCTGATTTCCCCAAACAGTACTTATATTCATATTTTATGAGTATATATATTGCCATTGAGTAGTGGTATCAGCATAATTATTAATATGAGCACATGGAATTATGATATATATATTAATTTGTACCGTTCACCGCAGAGCCTCAGGATTGATTACTTATTATCAGCCTCGTTGCATTATTTTTGTAATATTATATTTGCTATTGTTGAGATTCTGATATCATAATATATATTTTTTCTCAAGGAAAGAGATATTGTGAGTAATTTATATGAGAGGGCTTTATAAGAAATTGCTGCAGCACTTTCCTTGGATTTGCTCATCACTGTAACATCTCTATATTTTAATTCGTATATCAATAGTATCCTTAGCAAAAACAGATTTATAATGGTCAATTAAAGTAGAGGGAAAATAAAACGTTGAAATTGAGAAACAAATGTCAAAGTCCATTTATGGGAATCTGATGCATTTTATATAATCACGTAATCCAGTGGGAAAATGCTCTAGAAAAATGTGGAGAATATAATTGATATGTCCAAGCAATTGAAGCAACTTTCTTTCTTCTTGGTAGGCACCAGTTGTATAGTGACATGCATGCAGTGTATTTAGCAGCATATGAAACTAGGCTGCTTGCCTGATTAATACGTATACTTGGTGAAGGCAACAATAGATTATGCCACACTTCCACCATTGAACAGCTCCATAAAACACAGGCTTTTGAAATCACATGTTGTATGGGTGAATCAACAGTCCAATTTTCACTTTTAATCTTGAAAGAAACAAATTAAAAGGAGATGATGAAATTAGCAAATTAGTTCAAATCTCTTTTATTCAGAAAATATAAATAAAATAAAATTCATGAAGAAAATTTATAATAGAATAAATTCAACTCTATCTATAAATCGATCTAGTTGAAAACAAATAATGCATGGAAAAAACAAATTACAAATAGAAAACAAAAAATAAGCACAATGATGAAGATGGAAGTGGAGAGAAAGAGGCCAAGCGTCAACATCACACCTTGATAGACCTTAATAATCGTTGGCTCTCGATATATGATTATATATATAGAGTTTGGTTAGTGCAAGACAGATATGCAATTCAGGTAGTGAGTGGTGCAGTAATATTTGAAGGCAGCCAAACCATTTATCACTTTCATTTTCTTTCCAATATATAACTCTTAATTATATATGAAATCCAAAACCCTATATATTGCATGGATGAAAAATCATTAAGACGTCATAAAATTACAGATCCCAAAGCGTTTTTGACCTTGCTGCCAAAAGAGAGAGAAAAAAAGTAATACCAGAAGAAGAAATTCAAAATAAAAGTGGAGATGGAGAAGGTCAAATTAGTAGGTCACCATTAACCATCTTTTTTGTTGTTGCAGCTTGAATGGACCTATACCTTACCAAAAGTCAATCGTCCCTTTGACAATTTTGTTGTTTAGTACAGCTCAAGACAACTTTCTTCTCCAGGTTCTATTCTAGTTTCCCTGTTTGACAGCCAAATAGATTGTAAAATAACCAGCACAAGCTGTTCCACATTTTCTGTTCACGGATTTTTTTCCAACCCTTTTCACATCACATCATTTTCACGTTAAATTCTGAGATTTTTTTTCCTGTATTTTTTGTTCTTGTTAAGACACCACTAACTCATGCACCCAAAGACTTTAAAAATTAGTATTAGGAAAAAAAATTCTGGAAAAAGCCATTTCGTTGGAACTCATAGGGTAATCAATGAAGATTTCATGCATGTCTTATATGGCGTCTGCCTTTGATGCTTGTTTTTTCTTTTTCTGCTCTTTTTAGTTGTTTAAGATTTCTGCTACCTTTTGTTTTGGGCCATATATGTTTCCTTTTTGTTGGCCCATTAGTTCTCGGACCTTTGGCCCGCTTTTGTTGCAATCCTTTTTCTCTTCCTTAATGAAGGCTTACTTTGGTTTTAAAAAGGTAAACTATAAGTTTAGTATCTAAACTATTACTTTTGTTTCATTTAGGTACTCATGCTTTATTTTTATTCAAAATCATATTTAACGTTTAGTTTAGATTTCGATTTGTTACTCCGTCATTAAAAAATTAACAGAATTATTGATGTACTTTTTTAATGATGACTTGACATTACCTCATGGTGACACTTCAACATAACCGTTAAGTTTTTAACAGTGGAGTACCAAAATGAAACATGAACTCAACATTAGGTATGATTTTGAAACAAAATAAAGTTTAGATATCAAAACGGAACAAAAGGAATAGCTTGGGCACTAAAATATAGTTTACCCTAAAAAACACATCCAAACGTCACAATTTCAAGGGTTAATTTTTCTTTTGTTTTGTATCACTACACGAAATATATGATATTCTATTTAAATCTTCAATTAATTATTTTCTTAGAGTATTCATGTTTAAAATTTGTACCAACATGTTTATAGTTTTATTATCTTAATGCTTTTTTTACGTGATTGTTCCTTAATCAATAATAATTCTTTTTAGGAAAATATATTAGAAAGTGAGTTTAATGGTCGAAAAAATGTTAATTTAAATATAACGATTTTACTACAAATTTAGACGATGAAATAGCAGATGAGTTTGTAAGTAAAAGTTCATTTTTACTTAAACACATAACGGGTTTATTTAAATTCAAAGCAAAAAGAATTAATTAATTTCGTCAAAGTATTTGTTCTAAATTTGCTTTGACTTATTCGATATTAGGAAAATAAATTGTCATATGATATTAGACAAATGATTTTAGTAACTGTAAATAAAATTTTAATAGTTTAATAGTAAATTAATTTTATTTTATTTTAGTAACATTTAACATAATTTTGATATGATTTTAGTAACTATTTTTTTATTTATGATCATAGCATCGAATATGGATTTATTAATTTGAGGATAGAGTTCTACGAGTTAAGGGGCCATCAAACTCAGCCTACTTGGTAAGGCCCAAATACCTGCAGGTTGAGTCCGCTGCATAAACTATCATTTTTTTTTCTTTGAATAATTTGAAGTGACTATGTATCTATTAAAAATATTTATTAATCATTGTCATGTATACGTTGTTGATTGAACCCAGGATTTCTAGAGAGAACAATACTCCCGTTCACCAGTGATATACTCCAACTATAATTTCCAAATTGCCATCTTCAAAAGATTGCTATTGCTTTTATATAATGCAGCCCAAAAATAAATTGGGATTTATCAAGGTATATATGAAGATCGAACTTCAGAAATATATTAATCCATCATATAATCCAACTATAATTTCCAATTTCAATGTTATTCATAAGAAAATTATTAGTGCATAGAATTGAAACCAAACCAGATTTCCATAGCCAGTTTTCTTCTGTGATCATTGCTTCTACTGCAAGTTTAAAAGAGATTGTTGATATATGATACAGAAAATTATACAAAACTTCAAGAGACTAAAGGATCTCGACCGTCCATCCTTTCTTATCCTCAATGCGGCCAGTCTGCAGCCCCACCAGAGTTGAGAACAGTTCCTTGCTGACCAAGCTACCCTCTGTTTTGAATTCAATTCTGCAAATATCCAAAAATTTACATGGCTTAATATAAGGGAAAATAGATCAACAATATTGACTTCCAGTTTTCCACGGATCATTTCAATTCATTTAAAAAAAATACTATCAGTTACCTTCTGTTCTGATGTGTAATGCTACCTACGGGAGCAACTCCGACCGCGGTTCCAGTGCAAAAAACTTCATCAGCATCAACCAAATCATCGACTGGAATTGCCCGTTCTTCAACCTGAACACATTAGTCTCGTATTAAATCATGTCCTTGTCTTGTTTGCAGTATTTGAACATTGAAGTTTTAAGAAGCAGCAAATAATCACCTGGTAACCATGATCCCTAGCAATCTCAAGGATGCTTTTTCGAGTTACACCTTCGAGAATAGTGCCATTTGTAGCAGGAGTTGAGATATGGTTACCCTACAAATGTTCAAAATGTGGTCATAAAATTTCTTTGGTTATCAGTTTAGCCTGTAAAAATGTGCTAAGAGGCCAGCTATTAGCCTGAAATCAAAATGCATCAATACCTTCACAATGAAAATATTACAAGACGAGACCTCCTCCAGATACTTCCTTTTCACGGCATCAAGGTATAGGACATCAGAAAATCCTCTTTCTTTGGCTCTGGCTATTGCTTTCAGAACCTGTAACAACGGCATAATAAATTTACAATAGGGTATATAGTACCAATCTTTAGCTGTCTCGAAGAACTTACAATTAATGAGAAAGTATACTCTACCAAAAGGAAAAACCAATATTGGAACATTGAAATGTAAGTATGTTACGCACTGGAGCATAGTTTGTGATTGTCTTGACGCCTCCTGCTCCTCCAGGAGAAGCCCGAACAAATTCTTCATCGATATATAAGTTCAAAGGTGCAGTACCCTCCTGAATCCAAGATAGTCACAACATAAATAAGTCTTTTCTCTGGAAATTCAAGGCTTGAAAAAGAAGAATTATAAAGAAGTCAACCTTGAAATAGTTGCGGACGGGGGAAGCATATACAATAAATGTATACTCCGGCGCCGGCGCCAAACCTAAAATAGGACCAGTCCCCAAAAGCAGAGGCCTAACATACAGCGACCCTTTTCCTGGTGGAGGAATCTGCACGAAATAATGGAACCAATTCATAAATTTGCAAGAAGAAAATGAAGTATAATTTTCGGTGGAAAACTAGAAAGAGAGAAGCACAGTTTTATCAAATTTACCCAACGCTTGTTAGCAAACACAGTTTCTTTCACTGCGTCGACAAATTGTTGAATGGAAGGTGATGACATTAACATTCTTTCAGCCCCATGCATCATTCGAGCGGCGTTTTGTTCAGGACGGAACAGAAGAATTCGCCCATCTTCTGCTCTGTTTGCTTTCGTACCTTCGTATAAGCCCTGGATAGAGTTTTCTAAGCTGTATTAGATTATTCTGACTAGAAGATAATAGTGACATTTTTTTCTTCTTCAAATAATAAAAAAAACATCTTTATCCAATCTTCACTCAAAGTTTAGATTTTTAAAGATTTGGGTTTGACAAATCTTGCGTGCTAAACACATATCAAATGTCCAAATCAAAATATGATAATAATGAAAAAGTTTGGTAAATGGATTCGTGTCCAACTCAGCAGCAGCAAGAAGAGAAATATTTCACAAATTTCATCAGTTCGGTCGTCAACTCCACGTTTTTTTTCTTCTTTTAAAGTGGATAATTTGTTTATTGAGCGAAAATGGAAAGTGGAATGCTTGCCTGTCCATAATTTAAGACGCCAGCGGAAGGGCTTATTTCGATGTTGGCGTAGCGATTCAGTCTTCCTTCTTTAAAATTTTCGTCTTTGGAACATCTCATTACGTACATGTAATCCGTTGGTGTCAGACCAAATCCAAGTTTATCCCAGTCCACATCAGCGTACTCATCGTCACTATTTTCAAATCAATAGTAATATAGAAGGGGAAAAAAGTTAGGAATGGAATAAAATATTCAGCATGGACGAAAATAAATTAATAATCACCATTATAATGTTGAATAGTTTAATAATTCTGCACTTATACAAAACATTAATGAAGACGACCCCCACGCCTTCGGGTCTTTTTTTAAATTTATCTCTTAGAAAAACCAAACACAATTTTTGGGACAAATGCATGCGTCCATTTTGTAGCTTAAAGCCCAACACCGCAACACGGAATTAAACTGTGTTTTAGTTCAATTTTGTATGGAAAATGGCGGATCCCCTGTTTTCTGAAATTACCTGGAAGCAGATGGTTGAGTCGCTTTTTGCAGAGAAGAAGAAGCCTGAGATGTGTGCCCTCGGTAATTTGTAATCTATAAACATGTATAAAACAACATATTAGTTGTACCTTTGCAGCCCAAATTCAACGTTTTAAATACTACGATTTCATTTATATAAAAAATTTATTATCTTGGACAATAACCAGAAATACAACACAAAAGTTGGAGCTAGCTCAACCTTGTCGTCCAGATGTTAAATTTCTGGAAAATATTGACTAAGTGGACTACTATATTATCTGTTCGAATTATAAGAGAAAACAAGTGGCTTCAAAATATATAAAACAACTAATTCTATTTCATTGTCAAAACTCCGAACTCAAAAACACTAGTGCATCTGATTCCTGCCCTGCTTCAATTGTCGAGAAAAAGAGTACTGTTGTTGATAATCTAGGGACTAGGATTAATTAAGCCAAATATTAATCCCTCGAATATATGCCTTGAAGGCGAGCTGGGTATCCTTGGGTGATTGTGGAGTTTGAAAAACAGAAATAAAAAAAATATATATCGTCATGAAAAGAAGAAGAAAAAAGACTAGCATCATTAAAAATTTAATATCCACCGACGAACAAAGAAGAGTAACGTATCAAATACTGTGGAAGGAAACAGAGAATGAAAGAAACGACGTATTCATGAAAACAATAGCAGTAAAAGCAGTGGAAGAAGATAACGTCAAAGATATATTATGAAAACTGGATATAAATATGGCATCTACCTTGGATGGAAAAGAAGCAGCCCGTAAGGATTGAACCAGGTGGCGTATGCGAGAACTCCCTTGAATCATGTTTTTTTGGTATGTTTCTTAATACAATCGTCCCTGAAGAAGAAAGGCCCAGATGAGAAAATTCAGAGAAGAACTGCTGAGAGATTAATATTTGAAAGAGAGAATTATCGGAACGATAAAGATCTGAAAACAAAGGAAATACAGTTAAACCTAAAGAGAGAGAGACGTTTCCGGGGAGGAATGATCCAATAAAGAAAGAAGGCGCCAAATATAAAATGACTGACTCGACACGGAATTGTCCACGTCAATACGACGAACAAAGAAGAATGGCAAAAAAAAATATAACAAGTTTTGCTACATTACGTGTAGTGTGTAGATAAATAATGCACATATTTACTTGAAAATCGGTTGAGTTTTTATTTTAATATCTAAAATTTGATTCTAATTCAACTGATATGTTTTTCTTTTCGGAAAGAGTAATTGAATTTGTTTATTTAATTATATTGTATGATTTATCTATTATTAGATTTTAATCTTTAAATTTACAATACATATTTGTTTTAAAGAGATGTAATCATTCATGTGATCTCTACAATTAAGTCTACTCGTGTATAAGTGTGACTGTGACACGTCATATAGTCTTTAAATTTGATGCCCTACACATAAATTGTCGAGTAATTTCCTATAACCAGATCAGTGAGAATGCGAAATAAAAGCGGAAAAATAATATCCGAAATTGATAACGGAGTTCAGCCAATTATGCCTACATCTCTAGACTGCTGCAGATCTTTTACTAAAGAGAGAAAATTTACAGGTGTTTACAAAACACTCGAGAGAGAGCTAGAATGATTTGGGGATAATTTTGAAGCTAAATGGGTTAGAGTATTTATAGTTGAAGCTTAAGGAATAATCTTGTAAATACCCTAAAGTCCAGGGACTAATTATAATTTTCCCTTTACCATTTTTCAACAAAAAACCTGCTAAACTTTGACAAAAAATCAACAGCCCCATGGTTTAAATTGAGCCGCCGGTTGCCACTCTTGAATTTCAATTTGACTTTTCAATAATCTCCCACTTGAAGACTGATTTTAATTTGTCTTCATACCTCAATCAATGCATCAGCATTTCTGGTCTTGTTACTCTAGCATGCCAACTGAAGCTGAACACAACTTCAGTTTGTCTGTAGTCATCGTCTTTGTCAACATGTCTATCGAATTTTAAGCTATACTAATCTTTTCAAGTTTCAAAATCTCATCTTCCAGAAGAGACCAGATAAAATGATATCGTAATTGTATGTGCTTCGTCCTGGAATGAAAAGACGGATTCCTCGCTAGATGGATAGCACTTTGACTGTCGTAATACAAGACATTGTTTTCTTGTTTCTTGCCTAACTCTTCCAATAAACTTTGGAGCCAACCATCTCTTTGTTGGCTTCCGTAACAACGACATATCCTGCTTCAGTTGTGGAGAGAGCAACTATCTTATGTTGTTGAGAAACCCAACTCACTGCAGTACCTCCTAGAGTATAGACATACCATGTAGTGCTCCTTCTGATGTCAACATTTTCGGCTAAGTTAGCATCTACATAAACCTGTCAGTATCGTATCTCCACCTTTGAAACAGAGTGCTTTGTTTTGTGGCACCCCACAAATATCTGAGGATCCATTTGACTGCTTCCCAGTGTACCTTGCCTGGATTATTCATGTACCTGCTAATAACTCCCACTGCTTGAGCAATATCTGGTCTAGTACAAACCATGACATACTCAAAATTTACGTCAGCCCTTCTTATTACATGAAGTCTAACACTCCTCGCATTGAACCCTTATCATTTGAGTTCTTTGTGCCACCATGCATCGACACTTTCTCACGGCAAATTCATATGTCTCTTCTTGCCTCCTGCCTTCTAACACGAAGGTTGGAGCTCACTTCCCACCTTACAAATGGGTAGTTTCTCCATGGTTGCCTTGTCCCTTAATATCTTGGCTCCCTTCGACTTTTGTCTACTAGTCTTTGAATGATTGGTTCTCACTTGAACATCCTCGGCAAGCCCTTGCTTCGACCCCTTCTTTTATGATGGTCTCTGAAGTCATGTTCTCTACTCGAACATGCTCGGCAAACTCCTTGGACATGGCCAACTCCTCCTACACTTGGCTTCTACTTGCCTTGGCAGAAATGAACCGTATTGAGCCAACTCTCAACGCCCCCTCGATCCTGAGTTCGTCCTCTTCTCTAAACAACTCGATCCTGGGCTCATCCATCATATTGGATAACTCGGCTCCCCTCGGGTAGTCTCGCAACACTTCTGGCATCTTAAGTTTGCACCCCCTCGTTTGCCCGACTCTTACCCTCGGCTTAGCATCTTTAACACTTGAACTTGTGTCAAGACTGCACACATCTTCTCCAGACTCACCATCTGGTTCATCATTGAGTGGACTTTCTCTACCACTCGATGAACAACATTCATCATCCTTTGACTTGCCTTCATCATGGATTCGCTTGCCACTACCCTCAGCTTTCGGCTTTGTTTTGGAAGTCTTTTTTTTCTTGACTCCAAATTCTTTGATTGACTCAGCGGTTGTTAAGACTTTAGACAACTCCTTGACTTCCCTTCGCTCCAACACTTTCTTCGCCCATGGCTTCAATCCGAACATGAAGGTGAAGAACCCATCTTCTTCTATCAAACTTGAGACTTTGAGCATGAGTCTTCTGAATCGGCTCACATACTCCTTAAGTGTCCCTTTATGTCTGAGACGCCTCAACTTGGATCACGCCTCCATCCTGGCATATTGTGAGCATACTTGCTCACTTTGCACCCTCGGCTTGACGGCTTTATCTCTTGCTATCGCACCGAGTCCTTTCTTGTGCTCGACTACTTTGACACATACAGTCTCGCCACACCTCGCTCCTCGATTTACTAATTGTGAACTTGTAGTCCCATCAAGTCTTGCTCCTACTTGATTGCTTGAACACTCGCAATCTCATTGGGCTTTCTTCTAGGTTCAGCTGCCCCAACATCAACAGCCTTGCCTCGTCTCGATCCTTGCTTGGTCGCATTGACCCCCTCAATCGAACCAAGTCTTTTCCCTGGCTTGGCAGCTTTAACACTTGCAACCGCGTCAATTCCCACTACTTCTCCTTCTTCCATCCTCTTCATGGTGGTTGCAAGGCGACGCTTCTCGGGACATCCTCTAATCAAATGAGGATCATAATAGAAGTAGCACTTTAACTTTTCTTTGCTCACATTCTTTTCGCACCGGACTTAGCCTTGTCATTCTTTCCCGATAGCTTTCCTTGGCTATTAACAGTGATGACTCATATTGGCTATTCGAAGAGCTTCCTCTACCATCTCCCCGTTACACCTTTTCCCGGTCTCCCCCATTATTTCCATTATCTTTGGGCATGGGCCGGGACGACACATCGCTACTTGGCTTGACACCTGCAAGCTCAATCAGCTTTCTGCTACAGCTATGGCTGGCCTCCGAAAGTCTCTGGGCATCACATTCTCTCTCTCGAGTATTGCCCCTAGTCTAAGTCCTTCCAAGAAGGTCTTGAGCGCACCATCCAACTTCTCAATTTTCACATTCCCTTCGTCTGCACCATCGCTTCCACTCAAATTTCGCTTCGTTTGGATCGTTTCTGACAATTTCTGTGAATCTCCGTGTATTAAAACACATCCGTCGACAAACTAGTATCGTCGACCAATTTTCACTATTCACGAAATTCACTATTCATGTGAATAGTAACCTCGCAGAAAAATTGACAAAATTCACAACCAAAAGCTCTGATATCAATTGTTGGGAAATAAAACGAGTAATTTCCCTATAACCAGATTATTGAAAATGCGAAATAAAAGCGGAAAAATAATACCCAAAATTGATAACGGAGTTAAGCCAATTATGCTACGTCTCCGGACTGCTGCAGATCTTTTACTAAATAGAGAGAATTTAGAGGTGTTTACAAAATACTCGAGAGAGAGCTAGAATGATTTGGGGATAATTTTGAAGCTAAATGGGTTAGGGTATTTATAGTTGAAACTTAAGGACTAATCTTGTAAATACCCTAAAGTCCATGGACTAATTGCAATTTTCCCTTTACCATTTTTCAACAAAAAAACCTACCAAACTTTGACAAAAAATCAGCAGCCCCATGGTCTAAATTGAGCCGTCGGCTGCCACTCTTGAATTCATGCTGCCAAAATTGAATTCAACAATTTGTTGCAAAATTGAATACATATTTGTTTAAAATCATTCATGTGATCTCTACAATTAAGTCTACTCGTGTATAAGTGTGACCTGTGACACGTCATAGTCTTTAAATTTGATGCCCTACACATAAATGTCATATAGGTTCATCAATATGTAACCTTTGTGTTCTTACGACATTTTCATTCGAAGGAAAAATAAAATTTCCGTTTGTTCTCGGGTAAGTGACAGAAAGTTATAAAAGAATATTTTGACATCATCTTTAATTTTCCATGATAAGTTTTGGTCAAAAGACTTAATAAAATCTTATAATTTCAAATTTGACAAATTAATCTTTATTACAAAATATTTCAGATTTAATTTTAAAAAGTAGCATATGACTTGCATATCTTTTGGGATGAGCATGTTTACAACTTCTTGGGTGTCAATTGTAGAGATAGTTTTGTAGAGATATTAAAAGAGTTTTAATGTTTTGTGGGATATATTGAATATTAGGGTATACGAGTATTTTATATATTTGTACTATATATGATCTTTACATTTTATGGTATTTTTTATTTGTGACTAAATAAAGCCGAATGATATTAAATATTAATTTATATTTAATATTATTTCTACTTTTAAATTATAACATAAAGTAAGGGGCTTGATAAGGATAACTAAGCTGACACGCGTAATTTTTTTTAATAAACTTAAGGTAGATAACTGTAAATGAACTAAACTTAAGCTGATAAGATTTTGTTATTGTTCATCTGTTTATCTTTTATATGTTTGTGCTCATTTTATGTTTGTTAAGAAAATTAAAATTGTTTTCGTGTTCGTTTATTTAAAATTATAAGCATTCATATTTATTTATTTATTTAATTCTTATAAATAAGTTTATAAACACTAAATAAATATATTAATGAGTACATTCATGAACGTATAATTGAACATGTATGCAAATAATTAAAATTCATTCATGAATAATAA